TTGCTGCTGTACTGAAGAATTTAATGTTTGTGTAGGACAACATCACATATGCGTGTTACCAAAACCATGTTGCTCATTCCTTTTTTTTTAACATATTCCGTCACATTTATGGTCAAGTGCACTTTCCTGATACTTTAGCACAGAAAATGTAAGTACGTTTTATGTATGTAGAGTTTACACCAAGTGATCTTTAGTCTGGTTTGTACCAAAATAAACATGAAGCTTATGACACTACAAGTTGACTATTTGTGCCTTATGATCTAAATTCTGCTGTTGAATGATTTTTTTTTAACTTTTTTTTTTCTAGAATGAAATAAAATATTAACAAAAACTCGTCCTGGTCTTATTTTTTAGGCATTTATGCTTTAATTTAATAGCAGTCGTGGAGATGGGCGAGCGATGTGAGGAGAGAGTGCAAAGCTGCTGTTATAGTCACTAGTAATCACCTATATTTCGTCATATCATGGTTCTTTGGCACTCTGTTGGAAACCTTGTGATAAAAACTTGGTATTAGTTTTGATTCTCTGCTCATTTACAATAGAACAAAATTAGAATTAAAAAAAAAGAACATTGGCTAGAAGAAGAGCCTGGTATTGAAATGTAGGTAAAATAAGACGTTTCATTTGCTGTGCCTGGTTTTGACCAACCACTCATCCCTCATGGTGACGTAACCCTTCTAAAAAACAGATAACACATCCAGGGTAACAATACTTGTTTCTATGACTCTATGTCACTGAAAATTAACTGCTGCAGTTTTGCCATTGAAACGGTTATATATCCCTGGATGGTGATGTTTATTGTTGGTTCTAGAAAAAAAAAATGTGCTGAACAAAAGAGAGATTTTGTCTTTAGATGGTGACGCCTGGAGTGGGTGTTGAACTGATGTGGTAGTGCTCAAATTTATTTTTTTTCATCCCTGAAATATTCATCTATCTACCTCCTGTGCATATGAAGTTATTTGGCTCAGAAATGCTGGAAAAAAAGCTGTGTAATGCCAAAAATATGCAAAGTATGAAGGTCAAATTTCTCATGGCTTCATTCAAAGTAGCTGATTCTAAGGATTGACCCTCGTGTTTTAAATAATACAGTAGACAAACCCAACTTTTTTTTTTTTTTTTTCCATCTAAGAGTTTTATCCAAAGTCGAACCCTTCCTTTCCTGTAAAAGCCTTGATACGCTAACTTGTGCTTTTCTTACTTATAAGCTGGACTGTTGCAGTTGTTGTATGTCAGATTGGGCCGGTCGCTAACAGGCCCTTTATTTAACAGGGACCTGGAAACAGTTACTCATGCTTTTATTGGCTCACCGCGGTTCTGGCTAATTGCCTGGCTTCCAGTGAAATACAGGACTGATATTAAAGTTTTATTATTTGTTTATGGGATAACTTCACAATTACTGATATGTTAACTCCCTGGTTCATCCACTCCTCCTCTGAGTTGCTATTTTATGCCTCATAACTGACTTCAAATCACCCGTTTGCTCTTTAGTTCTTCCTGAAGCTGCCCCTGTCACGTCCACTCAGTTTGTTTTTTATCATTCTGCTGTTTTGTGTCGGATTTTACTCAGTATTCTCTTTGACATTTATGCTTTTATAGGTGTTCCTCTTTGTTTAATTAGCCAGTATGCTTTACGTTGGCCATTCTGTTCATGTGCTCACACTGCTGCATGACATTAACTTTGTGTCCTCTGTCTCACCTAGTTTGTGCTTTGTTCTCTCTGCGGGTATTTCTGGATCTGGAGCTGATCTCATTTGTGGCTACCATATGCACCGGCATGACCATGACTGCTTCTGTTCTCGTTTGTTGTCTATTTGTCTGCTTTAATTTTCTTTCTCCACTTTACCCGTCACCCAGTGGAGGCCCATCCTGGTTCTGCTGTGGAGGTTTCCTGCTGCTAAAAGCGAGTTGTTCCTCTCCACTGTCACCAGTACGCTTGACTCAAAGGGAATCTTTGGATTTGGTGGGTTTGTAGGGTCTTAACTTAAACTTTTAGATTAGTCAAGAAATCTGAGTATATGATGTAGGTTCTTTGACTCAGTGGTTCTCAAACTCGGGGTTGGGACCCTCACGGGGGTCCCAAGATAATTTCAGAGGGTCGCCAGATCATTGTAAAAAATATAAATATATAAATAAAGCCTACATTTATCAAATAAACTTGCATTAGGGCTGTCAAAATGAAAAAGTGTATACTTCTTCCCACTCTTTTTTTGAACTTGTTAATATTTTGATTTGATTGTGTGATATTATTATTCTGTTTTGCTCTTTTTAAATTATCTTCTTTTGTTTTATATTTTTTTTTCCCCTTTCATTTGTTTGAAATAAATTCATTCATTCATTCAAAATAAAATGAACGTGTTAACGTAAAGAGATTAATCTGTGGAATTAACATATTTTTAACGCTTTAATGCATGAGCAACAAAGTTATTACTCATGATATATTAAGAATTCAAATTGGGGGGTCACAGATACAAATGTCTGTTATCTTGGGGGTTGTGGCTCAAAAAGTTTGAGAACCACTGCTTTAGCTTAACGTTGAAAGTAGTCCTGTTATGTGTATTACATTTAATGATCTAGGGTCTTAACTGTAATATCTAGTTTAATCAGTAAATTTGTGTTTTATAGGACATTGTAGGGTTTTAACAGTAAAATTGAAGTTATTCAGGTAAATCTGCGTAATAAATAATCCTGTAGGATCGTAAACCTAACAGCAGCAGTCTATTTGTCATCTATTCGTTGTGACATAAATAACATAAATACAGTGACTTGAATAAAATCTCACTTGCAGTTGGTTCTAAATGCTGCAACCAGGTCCTGATGAGTGTGTGTACTTATGTGTTCCATCTGTTCTAACATCTATAGACTGGCTACCTGTTCAGTATGGGACTATCATTTTTGACTTGAAGTGCGTGAATGGACTCGGCTTATCTGTCAGACATGTTGTACTCTTATGTCTCCTGATATCTGCATCTCTTAGCAGTTCCAACATCTAGAACAGGCATGTAGTTGCTCCTTGTTATCTCCAAAACTCTTTAACTGCCTCCCCTCATATCAAGTTGCCGACTTCACTTCCAGTTTTCTGTGAAGCATCAGCAACAGTTACGTCATCATCAGCTGTGATCGTGTGCTTTTTTGTGTAAATCCAGTTTTAAAGTAAATTTGTGCAGCAAGGTGACTCGGTGGTTGGCACCGTTGCCTCGCAGCTAGAAGGTCGCCGGCTCACGTCCCGGTGAGGACACATTCTTTCTGTGTGGAGTCTCCATGTTCTCCCCATGCAGCGTGGGTTCTCTCCAGGTTCTCCAGCTTCCTCCCACACAGTCCAAAAACATGTTGAGGTTAATTGGTGATTCTAAATTGTCCGTAGCTGTGAATGTGAGTGTGCTTGGTTGTCTGTCTCTAAGTGTAACCCTGTGATAGACTGGTGACCTGTCCAGGGTGTCTCCTGCCTTCGCCCTGAGTCAGCTGGGATAGGCTCCAGCCCCTCGTGACCCTAGTGAGGATTAAGCGATGTATAGATGATGGATGGATGGATGGATGGATGTGTAACTCTCTACGGTTTGGGTGTTGGTCAGTGGGTGCTGCACCAACTTTCTTGAAGGCATAAACCAACATAAGGTGTTCGCATTTCCCTCCCGCATAGGCCTCTAGAAACACAGCAGCTGTTCACGTACTCTGCGGTTTCCCTAAGAGGAAGACTCGGCACCCAGGAGTTTATTTGTTAATTAATGAAACCGAGCCAGCTGCAGTGCTGACAAATCCTCAAGGTTTCCTTCAGGCGCTGCATCAACTGACACCAGCGCAAAGAAATGCAGTGTGTAAAAAAACTGTATCAAAAAATGTCTTCACACCAAGGATGTATTTCTAATAAATTATATATTTGGGTGGTATAAAAGGCATTAGACGGGAACAAATTCTAGTAACAGTCTGAGCGCACACACACACACAGAACCCTGGGAAAAGAGGAGTCAATTAGCTGCTATGTAACCGGTGCAGTCACTTTTAGTTGTGCACTGTTCTTGTAAAAATAAGCAATAAAATGAAAAGTTTCATAAAAAAATTTGGCAGTTTCACTATCACGAAAAAGTCAGCGTTCATACACTCGCATGCACGATCATCGTAACAGTGGCATGGATCTGTGTAAACAAATTTTTAAGTAATATTCACAGTCTGTCAAAAAGTATTGGTGAGAATTATTACACGAATATCCAAGAATAACGCTTCTGTTTGGGGATTCCCTCAAGAGGACGTGAAGTTTTAAGAGTAGAAAATGCTAACCTGTAATGCACTATGTGGATCAGCTATTAAAGGTTGTGTTATGGTGTCAGCTATCATGCTTAAGATGCGCTGCTAATGCTCACAGTCAAGCAGGAAAGAGAACATTAGGATGTAAAATGAAGATTTGGCAGGAGTGACATTTCACCACATGGTTACATGCATGCAGTCAGAGCTGGAGTGCGTCCCAGCATGCACTGGGCAGAAGAAACAACAGTCCATCACAAGTTTAACAGTCTTTGGTTAAGATGTGGATCCCACAATAACATGTATACCCGTGGACGTTTTTGCAAGACGTCACCATGGGAACTGGGGGCATTAAAAACCAGATAATTAACTGAGGATCATAAACTAATCAGCAATTTGATTAGTTTTCATTGTGGAAAATGTCACTAGACATGAATTTAAATGACCCATTTGCTTCCCCACGCTGAAATGTGCTTTTTATAACCATGACTGGACTCGAATAGATATTTTTTAAAAACAAAAGAAAAACCTTCAACAAGCATTTTAAGAATGAAAATAAAATACTGAGTGACTGAGGTACTGCCAAATTTGATGTATCTGTATGCACCAGATTTAAAAAAAAAAAAAGAAATAACATTATATTCAGACACAATCATGTTTTAAGTTAATTATTATAAATGTGGAACATTAAAAAAATAATAATTCTAGTCCACAAAAAAATAGTCCAATGACCTTCACAGTGATGGCTGTAGTTTCCTGAAGTCCTGGAGGTCTGAGCCTCCGGAGGGGGAGTTTTAGTTTCTTCCACCAACACGTTTCCCCGTCACATTTGTTTCACTCTAGATGTGTTCCTTAAATCTGATGTCCGCGCTGTGCAGTTATCAGGTAACAGATCCACGTGTGGCGTCAGCAGCAGGTTAGTGTCCCGTATCCAAGTCCCTCATGTATTCCTGAAGCGCCTGCAGCCTCGCATCAATCTCTGACAGCTCAGTACCGGTATCCAAGGAGCTTTCTGGGGTTTGAAATGAAAATAAGATGTTGTGCACTAGTAAGATTTCTTTGTTTAAATTATTTTATTGAAAAAAAAAAAAAAGTTTAAAAAACATTCTTGAGTTACCTTTGTCTTTGATTCTACGTGTTGGAGTACTGCATAATGGCTTTCTGGTCAAAAGGCCTCCTCTGGACTAGAGAGACAGAAATTTAAAAACGATGAGTCCAGTAATATTCGGTGTTTTCTTATCATCTACAAATCCCATGAAAAAAAACCCACAACCAACAAAGTAATAAATGTATAAAAGTGTATTCCACTGTGCCATAGAGCTCCACAGCTGTTCAAACACTGGTGAAAATGAGCCACAAGGTTTAGTTAACTTTTATTCATCATGATAAACACGTACACTATCACATCCTCCTTGAATACTCACTTGTAACGGGTATTAAAGTTGTGGCAGGCAGCAATATTTTAATGTCACTGAGCAAAAATTCCATATTATCTTTCAGCATATTGTAAGTCAAGTTGTCTGAGAGGACTCTAAACTTCTTCACCTCTGCCCAGCTCTGTTCTCAGTGTTTAGGAAATGTGACTGAAGACTGTGGCCAATAGGAAGTCTTTCCTGTGAGACAGCGTTTTTCCTATTGGCTGCTCTACAAATGCAGATGGACGTCGCTTTCAGATTTTGGAAAGACTGATTCAAAGGCAGAACGCTCTGCAAGAAAAACGTGCTGTTCCATCACTGGCAACAAATGCCGACACTGCAAAGCAATCCAAACAGGAAGATCCACACATCCACCAAGTGTGCTCAGAGAAATGGAGCTACGTCTAGTAACGACTATATTCTCAGCTTGTTGTTCCTCTCTTGGACAGATGAGGTGTTCATTTAATTTCTCAGTAAATGTGACTGGTTATGTATTAGGTAGTTATTTACCATCTAAGCTGGTCATGAGTGGCTACGTTCATAATTACTAATAGTTTTTTTCTTCTGCCAACTACAGCTCACAGGTGCAGAGCCAGTTCATGTTCAGGTTATGCTCACGGCTGCAGTGAAGCTTGAGCGAGGTGTTTATGTGAAGAGCATCGGTGCTCGACCGGAGGAAGGGGCTGAAGACAGAAAGGGAAGAGGAGAGCTGCAGGAGGTGGGTTGTATTCCGATCATGGGTTTTTTTTTGTTTGTTTGTTTTTTCCTTTCTTTCAGATTTCTGTCTCCTCCAGCTCCACCATGTAATGCACCCATGATTCAGTAAATGTTCTTTTTTTGATAAAATGAAAACTACATAACTGTAACTGTCTGGGAAGCTTTACTTCACAAGCAGAAGGAACAAATGGGTCACAAAGTGAGTCAAGAGAAAAACACATTGCTGGTTTTGGTTTTTTTTATGAGATTTTGTGGAAAAAAGCACAAAAAAAAAAAAGTCTGACATCACTCCTGAATTATAAAAACGAGAGAGCAGCAATAAACAGTGTCACATTAATTACTCACCACGTTGGGTCCGTTGTAAATTAGTTTTCTTCCTCTGCAAACAGAGAAAAACAGATATTTCAATAACCAGCTCAAACAACAGACACGTCACAAAACGTATCCAAAGTAATCCCATCACCTGCACAGAGTTTTGGCCATTTCATCCATATCTACTAAAGAGCCTTCAGAGGAGTTCCTGCTCCCTCTGCGCTCCATAGACAAACTCCTGCCTCGGCTGCCAGCCCGGGCCAGCTGAGGATAGGCGTCCCTGGAACGTGAGCGGCCTCTCTCAGGGACGATGGGCGACGTCAGCATGTCCCGACGCACCTTCCTCTGTCTGCCAAAGAAAAATCAGTTAATCCCAGCAGCTGCAGCATTAAATATTGCCAAAGGAAAAACAGTGGAAACCAACTTTTTGATTTCTGCCTCCTTCTGTCGGCGCTGTCTGTCCTGGATGTAAGCAGTTGGGTCAAAGCGAGGCACCCGTGACCCTGTAAGACAGTTATATTAACATCTAAACATAAGACCACTTCATTTTATCAATGTGATCGATGCTTTTTGATCGTCATCGTGAGCAGGGCTGGTACCAGTGGGAGAAGGTGACGGTCTGGGTATCCGAGGGTGAGGTCCTGAGGAGTCGGCTCTTCTTCCTCTCTCCATCAACCTTTGCCCTCGGTCCTCCATCTGTTCTCTAGATCCCGATCGAGCCCTCAGCGTCCCGTAGGGTGACCTCCTCTCCCGCGAAAGAGAGCGATAGATCTCCCCGTCGACTCGAGAGCTGATGTGAGCAGACACAGGAGTGACTCTGCTGCAGACACACACAGAGTGTTTGTGCTCAGCGGGTACATGAGATCCAGATTTTCAACCGTTTGTCCACAATTAGTGCAAGTGAATGAATAAAAGAGAGAGAAAGTAAAGATAAAGTACATGCTTAGATTGTCTAACCCTCTCCGTAGTAACGCCAGTTCATTGGTGAGACTCTTGACACGAACCCGGAGAGCACACTCTGATGACCTCAGCTCCTCCAGCTACACAGAACCAGAGAAAAAGGGTTAAAGGCTACCTAATAAACACCAAAGGAAATAACAGAAATCTGTTTCACCTGCTCCATGAGGAGTCGCTGCTCCTGGCATCTCTTGCTGGTTGAGCGTTGACTTTTGGCCCTCTCCTTGACAAGCTGCTCCTCCAGCGTCTTCACCACGTCTCTGATCCTCCAGTCCTCTCGTCCAGGTGTGGCACCGCTCCCACTCATCTGGAGTTGCTCCAAAACCTTTGCCATGGCCTCCTTCTCTTGCTTCACCAGAGCCAGCCTTGAGAACGGTAAAAGACATCAAACAAAGTCCCACATCCCCTCACATCCTTAACGCCGAGAGAGATCAAATGAAACCTACTCTGCTCGTAGCCGCTGTATTTCCAGATCTGCAGCTTTGTTCGCTCCATGAGTGGTGAGAGTACTGAGCTCAGCCCTGAGAGCTCTGATCTCCTTCTGCAGGGCAGCTGGGTCAGGCTTCCCCACGTAGGGCAGAGGTAGCGGGTAGTGGATCCTACACATGCAAACAGTTCGCAAATCAAGACAGCGTTTACATACACAAGTAGAACACTCAGAAATGACATCTGTGGCTAAATGCTAACAACATGTACATTGTGAATATATGAAGCTTGTAGCACAGAGACACAAACCTGTCAAACTCCACAGTGTATATGAGGATTAAATATCTTTTGGCAGTGAGAGCCGACGACTGCTGATTGGCGCGAGGACGACTGACCACTCCTGCTTTTCTGTTCCGAAGCAGCTCCAGGTCAGCGTAGGTCAGGAGGTCAAGTGTAACAGAATCACTGGTCTGCAGAGAGAACTCTAGTTAACCATGCAACACCACGATAAAAATAAATAAATAAAAGATTTCATGGCTGAAAACGTGGGAGGAAAAGAAACATGTCGTTGTAATGGTGATCCCCTAATTTTATATTTACTACCTTTTCATGTGTGTCTGATCCTTATATTTTCAGCATCAAAAAAACAATAACAATTGTGTATTTCTTGAAATTCCATTTGAATAAATTACACTGACTGCCTAATTCTTGCACTGAATTACACTTTAAGCCACACACATAGATGTTCACACTCAGGCCAGCTGGTGCAACAATGAAAGCAAACTTCTTCAAGTGGCTTTACACAGAAATCCAAATTTTTTGCACTATTAATTGTGTTATTTTACAAATCCGAGCTGGGCCTGGAGCTTTTATTCCATCATAAATGTCCTGTAGGTCTGGTTTATCAGGAAAAACATCTGTGTGGCTGCTTTTAGTGAGTAGGGAAAGAAAGTTTTGGTTTTTATTCTGACAACGAAGCATGTTCGGACAGCAGGAGGCACGTTGTTGAACAATTTTTTAAGGCTATAAATAATTTTGTGGTGCGCTTTTTACTCGTTTTAGTCACATAGACAGCACTGATGTCTGCCAGAACAGACGCAGTCTCTGTATGCGTTTACTTGCTTGGTTCCGTTTAGACCGATTTTTACTGTACCAAAATTCTAATTATTTTTCCTATTTCAATCTCTGTTCGACCGTCGTTCCCGTACATTAATTAAAAGGAGAAGTGGAATAAGACTGCTCAGGGTAACGGGACATTTTTCGCTCAAGTGGAAACATCGGACTCGAATGACTGAGTCTCTTCCTCGGCTCACACCGCCTCCAGCGATTCTGTCATTTCAGATCTTTCTATTGACTTTGTGTACATTTGTCCTCCTTCTAAATTTTCCTCTGCACCTTTGAACGTACCTTTCTCACAGCTGATTCCAACATGCTACAGAAAATAGGAAACTGCTTGAAGTTGCCAGTTTTGCGAGTGAGGTCTTCAATGTCTGAAATAAAGAAAAAAAGAATTAAACAGAGTGAACAGAAACAGTTTTTGTCCTGTGATGACATTTAAGCTATGCACTCACATGCTGGGTCAAACTCTCCCCTCCACTGATCTGCTGTCATGGAGTCGGCGATTTCGACGATCAGCAAACCCTTGTCCACCTCTATCTTCACAGAAAACTCCACTCCTCGAAATACTATATCTTCCATCACCCCAGAGCCTTCTTCCATTCCTCTGAGTCTGTGTTGGAGAAATAAATGATTGAAGTAGACAATTCACAAGCTTTTGTATAGTTTTGTAACAGTTCAGATATCTGCTAAATGAAACAAACCCTGATTATAACCCTGATCAGACGTCTTGTCTCCCAGTCATCAAGATCACATCAAAGGTTTTCATACATCTGGACAGAAATCAGCTAAATTCACTATATTATTTATAAGAGAGGACATCTGATTAGTCAGCAATTAAATGACACATTAGAGATTTTACAGCTTTAATATGTTTGTGAATTAGTTCCTGACTTGAAAGAAATAACACAAAAGCCAAATTAGAAGTAGGGTAGTAGTAGCAATAGTAATAGCTTTATTTATATAGCACCTTTTAAAAGCAGAGTTTACAAGATTTAAAAAAAGGATACTCAAGAAGAGAATATTACAACAGTCAGCACAGAAATAGTTAAACAGGGTAGAATACACAAAATGCAAAATAGATCATTTTAATAGAAATAAATAGATCAACACTAACTGATACAAATAAAATAATAAAAGCACTTAAGTGCCATAGCACGGGGTAAAAGAGATATCATCACACAGCAAATCTGTAAAAAAAAAAAAAAAAAAAAAAAAATATTCAAGTAGTGCATTTTTCATGTGCATTTGTACAAGAAGTGCACACAGATGCACATTTTGTACGTTTTGCTGTGATTCATTCAGACTGATTTCTGCAGATCTGTATTCACTTCACAGCATCATAACCAGAGGTAGACCGATTATCAATTTAGCCGATTATCTGATCCATAAACTACAAATGTAAATCCAACTATTGCTTCTTTTTCTACTTAATTTCTTAGACTCTTTCATGACGTCAGCCCTGGAAAACAAAACCTATTGATCACTCATTAATAATGTCATTTCTTGTAGTGACTGTGTTTCCCCCTGACTGCCCTCACAGCCTGTCGTTACCCAAACACACCGACAGGGGCGGCAGCGAGGCGGGTCCATTTCAAAAGGTGTCATCATTTTTTATTGAAAAAAGTTCTGGTTGATGGTTCGTATCATATATCAGGAAGTTATAGCAAAGGTCTCCAGTCACGGTTAACGAGGAGGTGAGTTATGAACGATTCCTTTCGCTGCTTTACGTCGCTGTTAGATTTCGCGCTTGACTTCACTTTCTCTCGAGCAGAGACACGAAATCTGTGTCGTTCTTCACTCCAGCGTTAAAAACGCAGGCGGAGGGTCGACGGCTTTTTTTTTAAAGCAAGTTCACAACAATGACTTTGGACAGTCGACTATTTGGAGTTGATAACTGTGGTGAAATACAACGTAATCTCCTGCTTGTTGTATCCAGAGGTCAGCTAGCGACAGTAAACATCCTCTGTCTGCTGGCTGACCATCGCTAGCTGCGGTTAGCTAGCACGGACATTATCGTTACTAGTTATTTCATTCAACTCGTAGCTAACTAACCGAGTTATGTGTATAAAAGCCACACAGTCTTTTTTTTCAGTGTGCGGGGGAAAACGCAAAACAAACAACAGTTAACGTTACCTTTGGTTGCAGAAACGCTCCTGGACGTGCTGAGGTGTCAACACATAGCTGCTAGTCGGTGAAACATCGCGGTGAGTTAGCTAGCTGCAGCACAACAAACAGCTAGCCCGCTGACTGGCGCTGCTCCTGAGTCCCAAACAAGCTGCAAACCACCGGCAACCGTGGAGACTGGAGCGGTTCAACAACCGGGAACCGTTAAATTCTTCTTCTTCACTTTGCTCTGCCGCTGCTGCCTCTTCCTCGGACGAAATCTGACGGAGGATCGATGCCTCTCAGGCGTGTCGCTGCCCTCCACAGGTACTGAGCAGACACTGCCCTCAGCCCGCTGCAGGAGCTGCACACCATGCAGGCAAGTCACACAAACAGAAGGAAAGGTAGCGATGGAAAAGCTCCTCCAGATGTAAAAATCATGCATTCAATACTTGATTTCTACAAGATTTATATATGTAAGAGTTGCAGTTGTCACATGCTCCTGCAGTACAGGAAGTGACATGCAAAGTGACTTTTCCAAAAGGTTGTGCACCAACAAGACATCATAAAAAATGTTCCTTAAAATACTCAAAAGTACACATTATGTTGAGTAAAGAGATTGTCAAACTACAGCGCAAGAGTTGCAGTTGTGTGTGTGTGTTAGTTTTTATTCATATGACCATATGTATGTGCATACAGCTATGTGATATATATATATATTTACATAGTGCCAGTGTGCTGTAGCTTACAGATTACATACTATATAAAGCTATACAGTGCTGCCCACTTAATGTCACACCGCTTTATAGATTGTTCCGTTTATAATCATAAAATGTCAAAGTCCTGAATCATTTCCTATATAATCTATAGTAAAGCAGCCCGTTTATTGTCATAGAATAATGTCATAATCCTTGTTTTTGTCATAACAAAATTCCCCGAAATTGATTCCAGGAATAACTTTTGCCCGTTTAAAGTCACGGTCAGCCGATCGTTACAGCTCACGGGCCGAGTGTCGGTCATGCGTGGCAGATTATCACACCCCGGTCAGCCGCGGAAGACAATGTGTTTGTTTGTTTGTCAATGACCTGCTCACCTGAGCTCTGCTTCACTGAGTTATTCACACACTGTCTGTCCCACTTGAAGCCTTATTTGAATATCCCGGATATAGTTATAATTCCATCCTGGACCGAAGGTGTGATAATAAACGGGCAGCACTGTATAATATAAATATAAATAACAAAATTGCTACTGAAAAATGCTCATGTGGTCTCAGACTATATGGTTCTATCACAAGTAGGACTGCTCATTATGCACAAAAGTTTGTGCCAATGTCTATTATTAGATAGCTTTATCTTTTATGTAATGTGTTTTATAACTCAGCAGTAGCAGAGTCACACAGTTTTTACAAGGCTGACACCAGTAGAGGTGGACCTAATTCTTTTTTTTTTTTTTCTCAACAAATCACTTTAGGCTAAACAGTGTTTTAAGGGGTCGTTCACTCTTTGCCACGTAGAAGTACACAAGAGCTTGTGTATGGGAAATTACTTTTTTTTTTTTTTTTTTTAATGTAATCCGCAGTTGACTAAGAATCCAGATCAGTTGCTTAAGATAATTACAGTCTAAATACATAAGATGGCTGCACATGAGACACTTGGCAATATTGTGCTGTTCTGCTCAGGATGCCACCTCGTTGGGACATCACACTATGTCCTTCCAGGTTTTTTGTTTCTTTCTTTTGGCTGCATATTCTGGGTCAGTCTTGCATTGCTCAGCAGTTTGCACAACTTTCCAGAACTCTTTAAAGTAGGTTTTGTCCCTGCAGTCTGTAAGAGTCTGTACAAAACACACACACACACACTTTAACTAATGAAACATTTACAAATAAATTCCTCATTTACAAATAAGAAAGATGATGATGTTTTAAAAACATTTTTCGATGACAACAATATGAAAATTTTAGAATTTCTGCAAAATAGGTCAACATTTTCTGGTTAGTCAGAACTACATGGTGGTTGTGCTGTTAAAATTAATTGTATGGGATCACTGGTTGTAGAAAAGTGGTCCTACAAACAAAATTAGGGCAGAAAAACAGAAGTTGCTAGATGCAACTCAAGTTCTAGTGGTTCATGTGTAACTGTAGCAGAGAACTAACTTTACTTCTGGTTTTGTGGGGTGACCAGACTTTAGTCTGTGGAGGCCATGGCCACCCTGGGCCACAACTTGACTCCACCCCTGCTGAATAGAAGTATAAAATAGCACCTAAGTACAGCATAAATACCATCCATCCATCCATCCATCCATCCATTATCTATACGCCGCTTAATCCTCATTAGGGTCGTGGGGAGGCTGGAGTCTATCCCAGCCGACTTAGGGCGACGGCAGGGGACACCCTGGACAGGTCAGCATAAATACCATTAAACATTTTTTATGTAGCAGTTTTGTAACAATACAATGCTTTAACACACCTTCAGTATTTCTCAGCTGCATAATCTGCTGCCAAAATGAAAGTGAGAAAAGCTGCAGCAGCTTCAAACCAGTAGTGCTAGGACAGTTTTTGTTATGTGATGATGTGCTGTGTCTTTGTGTCTTTATGTTTGTGGCTGTTGCTGTTTCAATTTTTTTTTTTTTTTACATTAAAGAAATTGTTGTTATACGCCTTTTTTATTAGTCAAAGTTTATGTATGACAATATTTTTAGCAACCTTTAAAAAGTAGGACAGACTTTTCTGTGGACATCGTCTCAAGTTTGTTCAGCCCTCGACTGTTTGGTCACGTTGTTAATGACAGTTTTCAGTGGGGAAAAAAGTGCTTCCTGTAAATGTTTGATAAACCTGACCTCTGCATGTCTTTACTCAGTCTCGGGGGAGAGCTGTTTCCATGAAGACATTGATCACTGAGGTCAAGTGACTGAGTCCGAAGTCTGTGGTTCTTGCGACTGATCTGAAAAGGAAAAGAAAAAAGCACATAGGAAGAGTGTGACTCAGAGTGAATGCATGCTAGAAATGACTGACTGAGGTTTTTGGTTTTACCAAACAGAACTCTGCATGGAAGAAACAAAAAAGTTGTTGGACTTCACCTCTCATTCCTATGACTCCAAAGAAACCTCAGCAGTGGCTGCAAGTGGTCGGACATGCAGGTTTGTTCATTTTGCCTCATTTGCCTTTTAGTTTCCCCCCCACTGTGTGTAGTTCTTGAAAAGAAAATACCTGCATACATATGGTTTTTAACACATTCTGTGCATCATTTTTTCCTCTTCGTCTCCTGTTTATCGTCTGTCACCACAGGGAGCTTTCATGTCGGGGATTATGGCACGCTGCTGAAGAGGTTTTGTGAGGGTGAGCAACAGTGCTACCTGAGACTGATGGAGGACACTCTGAGGCCCTTTGTTCCAGCCTACCACGGTGTGGTGCAGCGCGGCGAGCAGGATTACAACATGATGGATAACTTGTTGACCCATTTCAACACACCTGCCATCATGGACTGCAAGATGGGCAGCCGGTAAATTCTAGTGGGGCACTTCTGTAACCAGATGCGACTGAATGAGTTTTCTTTTATGCAAATTTAAAAGTAGAGACCAAGTGCTTTTCAGACATGGGGTACATAGCATTGCTGGCTTGATTAATCAGTTACAGTGATCACATTGTGTCAGTCAGACACTGGTCACATTTAAGTTGTTTATATTGATCACGGTTTCATTCAGACAAACCCACCACAGTGACGGAGAAAGTCTTGGGATGTGTGTGATTGTTGTCATACATGTGAGATTGGACAGTACATCAAGTGACGTGTATTGTATTGTAATGCACTACTAAACAGAAGACTTATCTAAAGTAACAGCAAGCTCATCAAACAAATAGCTGTGAGATTATCATCAATCTTGTCTCTATGTTGGGGATTATTATGATTGTAAGTAAATAATAAATTTAGCGGCGCTCTTGTTGCACAAGTCTCTCGCTTTACAGACGCTCATATGGATCCTGCTGCTGTTTGAGGCTGCAGGCATTTAATACATTCAGAGGAGAAACTCCTAAAAACAGTAACGCACTACACTTCAGCTCCTGCTAGCATTTTTTTAAAACCTAGATTGATTGTTGGTGGGTTTCGTTAATCTGACCTGTTTTACCTTCATCACAGAGTTTTAGTTTTAGAGAAGGGATTGCAAACTGTCTTTGATGCTCCCTGGGAAGTACGTCACTTGTTTGTCTTATTTAGTAAGACTGCTTTCACTCTTTTTTACAGAGTGGTTATCCAGCTATAAAGTCAACATGTTCAGATGCAGTCAGATTAACAGACAGGAGGCTTTATAGGACAGCACGTAATGAGGCACTGTTCTTCACAGCACGTACCTCGAGGAGGAGCTTGTAGTGGCCCGAGAACGGCCTCAGCCTCGTAACGACATGTATGAGAAGATGGTGGCAGTGGATCCAGAGGCGCCAACAGTTCAGGAAAGAGCCCAGCAGGCAGTGCTGAAAACCAGGTACATGCAGTGGAGGGAGACGCTGAGCTCCACAGCAAGTCTGGGGTTCCGTGTTGAGGGATTCAGGGTAAGTTCTCATCAAAGATACCAAAGATGGTTGCATCAGCCAGCACACACGATCTTCTTCATATATAGAGAATAAATGCTGTTAGGTCGACAGTCTTTGAAAAATTTAGATTGTTTTTGCAGCAATAAATGTCAAATATAAACAGCCACAGATGTTGCGTTGTGATCTGTTCCTTTCCTGTGCAGAAGGCAAATGGAGAATGCCAGACGAACTTCAAAAGGACTAAAAGCAGAGAACAAGTGGTGGAAGCTCTCGACAGCTTTGTTGAGTCCAATACAAACATTGTGGTGAGTGTAACCTTCACTCTCACACGTTCGCTTGTCGATTTGTTTTGCTCTAAATCTGGTATCTCTCCCTTCAGTGGGGCTATCTGAGGCGACTGAAACAGCTGCGGCAGGTCTTGGAGGCATCACACTTCTTCAGAACACATGAGGTTAGCTTGTGTGACGGTTTTGTTGAACAATGCAGCAGGTGTTTTGAATAAGACTTTATAAATGTCAAGGAAAAAAAAAAACAAAAACAAAACCTAGTCTTGTTCCAAAACAGCAGTGCTTGAAATGTGTGATGTGTGTTTGCTAGTGCTGGCAGACTTTGACATGTAATATCTTACATTTGTTCAGTGGAGAAAGTTGTTTTAACAGCAGTTCTCCCTGCAGGTTGTGGGCAGTTCTTTATTGTTTGTACACGACTGGACCGGCAAAACAGGAGTCTGGATGATTGACTTTGGGAAGACGGTGAGCTTGCCACCGCACCGCACCTTGGACCACCGCACCCCGTGGGCAGAGGGTAATCGAGAAGACGGCTACCTGTGGGGTCTGGACAACCTCATTGATGTGCTAGCCAACATGTTGCCACTGACCTGAATGTCTTTTTGAACACGCGTGGAAATTTACTCTCAACCGAACGACACATGGATTCTGAAATGGCTGTTGTCAGAATTTACAGGAATATACAGTCGCAATCAGAGGAACGGAAACCTTTTAGAGGTTGGTTACAATACAAGTAAAAACTGCAAGTAAATACTTTCCAGAAGAAATTTTTTATCTGCAAATCAGGCCCGCAACTCTGGTCGAAGGATCATTAATAATCCTTTGGCCTTATACGGCAAATCCAGTGTTACTGATAATTAGACTTACCTGCACTGTGCCAGAGCCAAACACACACTCTGTTTTTCCAGCCTCAGCAGATGTCTGACCCGACTGTCTGGAGACGACCTGCTCACTATTTCAGGAAACACACGGCTCTACCAATTATAGGCTAAAAATACGGACATCCCCTGTGACTTATCGGTTTAAATGTCACATTGTGTCGTTAAAATGGTGCTAAGACTATAAAGCTAAAAAAGAAAAGTGGACTTTTTTTCTGCATTTCATTTGTTTGCCTCTTGATCATTATTTGATAACGGAGAGAAATGAGAACCGGAGCTGTGACGAGTAATTGAGTCGTCAACGACTGTTTAATTAAATGCCAACTATTTTGATAATTGATTCATTGGTTTGGGTAATTTCTTAGGGGGAAAAAAAGATTAAATTTGTGGATCCCAGCTTCATAAATTTGAATATTTTCTAGTTTCTTACTACTCTGACTGTGAACTAAAAATCTTTGTGCTGTGGACAAAAAAAGACATTTAAGGACATCATCTTGGACTTTGAGAAACACTGATGGACATTTTTCACCATGTTCTGATATTTTATAAACCAAACATGTAATTGATAATTGTGACAGTAGTTGACATATGAATTGACAATGTACATAATTATAAATTTGTGTGTTGGTAAATTAGTTGCAGTTCTTCTTTCATCATCATGGCTTGTCGACATATAAATTGTGAAATTATTTCACAGTTTATGTATTGGACTTAGGAACACTTCTCCCTGGGTGGGTGACCCCACATGACACGAAACATGATCAGTCCATATAAAGGTAATGAGCCCATGTTGCCTTATTTGACATAAATCTAGGCATTGTCCTGTTATTTCTGACTATTGACAATCGAAAAATATCTAATATACCCCTGACTAAATGAAACCCAGATGAACAGAACTGGTTAAAAATCTTGAATTGCTGTTTTTGTTGCTAATTCTTATCATTTTGACACTGGTGATTTTCCAGAAGTGCCAGTAAAGCATCAAAGCAGGAGACACCCTGCTAGGGATGGCAAATGTTGCTGTGTCAGTCTCTCACTTGTGTCCAGACTGAAAGATCTGGCTGAATTTTTTTATTTAAAAAAATGCTTGTTGCTTTGATGATCCCCTGACTTTCCCTCCAGCATCACAGTGATGGTGACATTTCAGTGAAATGACTAAACAAGCATTAGATTAGACCATAAGGTTTGGTTTTTATTTAGTGTTATCAACAGGTCAAAATGTGAATTTTGTCAGATTTTTTAAATAGTTTTGTACTTTGTGTTTACAGCAAATTAGCAAATATTGGCAGTGGACATGGTCGTTATGATCTGTTATCAAAGACCAGTAGGTGGAAGTCATATCTGTTTTAAATAGTTTGTATATCAGAGTTTTTTTTTGTTTTTTTTTTACAACAGCTCATAAGATAAGAGATAAGATAGATAAGCTAGAACTTTATTGATCCCTTTTCAGGGAAATTACTTTCTAAGTCTCATTGTTGGTGTTTTCATCCTCTCCTGAAATGTGAATGCTGATGTCATTTAATACTTGTTTGCTTTTCTGTCTGTGTGCATGACGAGGCAGATGTGCTGTCTGTCCTCCACACCTGTCGGCGGCTGTCACTCAGCCATCAGTCGGGAGGCAGAGGGAACCCCTGCCCTTACCTGCAGCACCAGACAAGATTAAAGGGAAGAGCAGACAGAGAAACTGATAGTCATGCTCAACAAATCCTCCCACACAGTCTGCAGCAACAACAAAAAGCCTTCTCACTGGTGGTAAACAGAGAGAGAGAGAGAGAGAGAGAGAGAAGGAGGGAGGCAAAACTCAGATTTGTTTGGCTGAACCGGCAGACTTCTGGTCACATTACTCCAATGTTTTTGCCACGACTAAGTACTAGTTTTAGTTAATCATACACTTAATTAGGGTGAAGTCCTAAGACCAAGTGATTAAATGACCAGTTATTAAAAGCATTTCAACCACTGGAGCTCTTTTAGGCGAAGTTAAATTAAAGCGTGATGAAGGCTTAAAGAAATAGGGATAGTGTGTTTTTTTTTCTTTTTAAATGAAGATATCTGCGCCAATCCGGGTGTGCTCAAAACAGGAGAGGATGGGTAGGGGGTGGTGATGTCAGTGTGACAGATGAAACATCAGACAGCCTCTCAGTTTGAAAAAAAAAAAACTCAAGAGGCTTCCTCTCACTGGTCATTGTGCAGCAGATCCATGGAATAGGCACACACGCAAACCTGCAGCGCTCAGGGAGTGGACGCCGCCGTCAACGAGACCAGGTACGATGGGGTTTTATGTTTCCATTATATGATGGCGTGTGAAATACATATCAGGTGTTGCTACTGACGTTGTCTTGTTGCAACCAATTTACCCAAACTTGTCATGTTTGCAGCCAGATCTTTCTTTTAACAAGTGGGAAAAAATAATGCTGCAATTATACAAAACAAAATTATAATAATGTGTTTGTATTGTGTCAAATGTGCTTCTAATATGTGACTTTTTTTTATTTTATTACAGACGATTTTCTCTTCAGATGTATGATTTTTCAACTAAGAGCTCAAAACAGACCTCCATAACCCCCTCCAAGAGACATTTTTCAGTTTTTTTGACGTATCACTGTGTATGTAAAGTGCATGTGTGATGCACGTAGCACATACATAAAGTGTGCGACTTGCAGCGCCGGCAGACGTGGTGCATGTTGTTGCAGTGGTGTATCTGTGCTGCTGCTGTGCTCATGGCTCAGAGGAGGGCTGCAGGAGGCTGCTGCTGCCCCAGAGCGCCCATGAATGAAGACAACGCTCGTTTCTGCCTGCTGGCCGGCCTCATCTTGCTCTACCTGCTGTGCGGAGCTGCCATCTTCTCGGCCTTGGAACACCCCTTTGAGCTCCGCGCGCGTCTTCTCTGGAAACAGCAGCTGGACAACTTCACCAGGCGATACAGGGTCAACCTGGGGGCCCTGCACACGCTGCTGCGGCAGTATGAGGAGGCCAACGGAGCTGGGATCAGAGTGGACACGCTGAGGCCACGCTGGGACTTCTCTGGAGCTTTCTACTTTGTGGGCACTGTGGTCTCCACTATTGGTGAGTCTTAAAAAGTTTGATACAACTTTAAGATTCTTCTCCAGGATCATCATGTTGCTTAAGTCCATATGAGTCCTTTGAGTCAGTTGTTTTATTTTGTGTTTGTCTCCTCCAGGCTTTGGCATGACCACACCAGCGACCATAGCAGGAAAAATATTCTTAATCTTCTATGGCCTTATTGGCTGTGCTGCCACCATCCTCTTCTTTAACCTCTTCCTGGAGAGGATCATCACCATGTTAGCTTACATCATGCGCTGGTGCCATGAGCGCCGGCTGAGGTGTGCTGGAGTCGGGGCCATGGCGAGCAGGGAGGAGTCATCCGGTGAGGAGGACAGTCTGGAAGGCTGGAAGCCATCAGTCTATTACGTGATGCTGATCCTGGGAGTGGCATCTATTGTGATTGCATGCAGTGCCTCCACTCTGTACAGCTCCATGGAGAACTGGAGCTACGTGGACTCTCTCTACTTCTGCTTTGTGGCCTTCAGCACCATTGGCTTCGGGGACCTGGTGAGCAGTCAGAGGCAGCAGTATGAGTCTCAGGAGGCCTACCGGTTTGGAAACTGCCTTTTCATCCTAATGGGAGTATGTTGCATCTACTCACTTTTCAACGTCATCTCCATTATCATCAAGCAAACTCTGAACTGGATCCTGGGTAAGATGGTCTGCTCAGGGAAGCATCAGCTGTGTTCCTGCTCCACACCCGGCTGCTGGTGCCTCTGCTGCCCCTGCCTCCAGAATAAAAATCAAAAGCAGAGGCGTCCACCTGCAAACTTCAGACCCAAACGCATGAAACGCAACGCGGTGCAGCCCGTCTCATCCCACCGGCCTGCAGGGAAGCACCGCTACACCGGCGGCTCGGTGGAGTCTGTGTGCGGCAGCGAGACGGACGGCGGCGCAGTGGCTGAAGTGTACGTGGGGCGTCGCATGTCAGGAGAGATGATCTCTGTCAACGAGTTCATGGTTTCAAATAAGGTGTCTCTGGCACTGCTGCAGAAGCAACTGAGTGAAACAGCTCACCAGGGCCCACGGCAGAGCTACGGCCATCAGAACGGATTCTCTGGTGGTGTGGGGGCTTTGGCCATCATGAATAACCGCCTGCAGGAGACCAGTGTGGACAGATAGCATCAGAATAGCATTTCAGTTCTTCTGGTTGGGTTCTCTAGATTCCATAGGAATAGGTTCTGAATATTCCTTAGGAAGTTTTTTTTAGAATATCAATCGTTTCTCTTCTGACAATTTTCCTTCTAATTAGAATCCGTTGAGTGTGAGCAGCTTCATTAGAAGTCTGCATAGATAATATCAGACTTCCAGGATGGACGCTGGACAGCTAATAGTAATCATTTTTTGTTGAGGAGAAAGAGAGTAAAAAGACGATTACGACTGAAAGAATTCAACATCACTGTGAAGAGGGGTCTGATGTCCTGAAGTGATTGACTCATACAAAAGCAATCAGATGAAAGAAGCGTGAAGGACCACTTACAGAGGACTGCTGATTTAAGAGTGCTGCACATGTCCCCTGAGCTCCTCAACAGATCTGGTTGTATGTGAGGTGGTAGTCAGTAATAGTGAACACACAGACACGACACCTACCGTCTCCTATTCGAGGACTAGCTGCAGATGTATATTTAACATTTGAAACGTGATTTGTATCTAAATCAAGCTTCTGCAGGAGCTCTCAAGCACCAAAAAAAAAGAGACATTTTAATTTGTTGATTGCTCACAAGATGCCCATCTTGTTTCATCATCGCATGTCATTGAAATTCATAGGCTCCATGAAAGAGATCCAGGGTTTTTCAAAGGAGAACATCTAATCAAACGTGGCCTGTAGAGGACGTCCTTATGTCAATAAGTGCTTTGCAAACAGCCACAGGGTCGCATCAACAGAGCGGGGAGAGAGATCTAGGACCCTTTTCTATGCAAGAAAACCAATTCTGCGTCATTCTGTATCGTGTGTGTGGCAGGTTTTCATCAGTGCTCTGGATGATGAGCGTGAGGAGAAAAGCTTCCCTCTTAGAAAAAAAGCGTCGATTTTCATCTGGCGGTTACGCTCCATGACTTGCCTTCACTGTTAGCAACTTCAAAGCAATGAGGAGAGATAGTTCTTGTAGTAATTATGGGTAAAAAATACTGCAAGTGGTCAGTCAAATGTTCTTTATTTAGGTTTAAAACAATCTTATCATATAATGTCTATACACAGAAAATGACTCAGTATAATAACAACGCAGCACGATGCAGATAAAATAACTCATCCAGAAACGGACCCGTTCAGATGCTGTTTGTTTTGTCATCTATATAAAACATGAATAAGGCAGCACAGTACATATCCAATTGACAGAAAAAATACATTTCACATGCACTTTATCTATGAACGGGTTTAGAAATATGTGTAGAAAGAATTAAGAAATGTGTAGAACTTATTTGTCTAAAATCTAATTAGGAAATATTAACTTTAGGCCAATTTGTGGATACTTAGATCAATTTATTGTCACAATCAAACATTAGTCCAGCTAAGTGATTCTACATGTTTTAAAAAAAAAAAGATTCTCTTCAAAAAGAATTATATTAGATTGTGAAATGTATTTTTTCTTAATCTGTGTAGAATTAAATATTTAACCTCTGTTTTATTTTTTGCCTGTCACTTCCAGCACTGAGGGAAAACAAATTTGTGCATTTCCTTAAGCTGCCAAACTGTTCGAAGCACTGTTAGAATTTCCTGTTGAAACAAATGCATATATTAGCTGAATGCTAGCTTTCGACTGGCATCGACACGTCTTTCCTCCCTGGAGATGAAAGGCAAACATAAATTCTTCTTTTATTATATCTACTCTGAAAACATCAACTTTAAAATACGACTCTACATGTACTACCTTGTTTCATCCAGTGAAAATGTACAATTTCACAGTTTGTTCAGTTGTTTTTTTTGTTGTTGTTGTTTTTTTTACAGGCTGTCATTTGAATTTATCGTCTGTACTTTGTGTTCACTGAATAAGAGGCAGAGGTTTGTTGCTGGGTCGGTGTCTCTGAGTAAGTTTAACAAAATATCCTTCTTGTATAAATATAAAGTATCAGGCTTTATTAGATCTATTTTTGCATTGTATTTGTTATGACAAGATGCTGCTCGCTAGCATGATGTAAACAAACACCACTGTCTGTTCCACGTCTCCCCCTCCATTTTTTTTTTTTTGTCAAATTGCACACATGAAGAAAACAGTGTTAATATTCACATTAATTACAGTCCTTCAGTGGTTTCTTGGAGACAAAATCCAGCTTCTCAAGAGCCTCCCAGGCCCTGGATAGACAGGTGAAGTAGGAAATATTCATGAGTTTGCTGTGCATAGTGAAGGAAATAAAAAATGTCTTGTTAGATTTGGAAAAACACAGCTTGGACTTACATTTGGTACCGTGGGCTTGTGTGTCTCTCGTTGTTGGTAGTAAGCAGAAATGATGCAGTTTCTCCTGTAGCACGCAGAAGTAATGTGGTGTTATCTGACCGTACAGGGTGAAGATGGTGGTATAAACGTACACAAAAACCTCTCATCTCGTGTCTCTTACTTGCTCTGTATGCCTCCACCTGGTGGTAACCCCGGGATGACGGTGGACGCCAGGACTGTGAGGACGGACAGCAGGTCAGGTTCCTCCCCTCGGGCACACAGCTCGTTGTAAATCTCTGTCACACATCAGAAGAAATGAACGTTTGTAGAGAGTTTGGATTCCCACGAGGCACACATCTTTAAAAATGGGTTACACACACACACAGTAGTTTCATTTTGAAAAAATAAAAAGGTTAAGTAAGCTGCCTTCAATCTGGGCATTGTAGATTTTAGCAAACGCAGCTCAAACAGGGGTGAAGAGTAATCTTGTTGGGGACTATTTTTAGCTGCGGATCAATACACATTTGGTGCTCTAATGAGTTTTTACCACATAGGGGAGGGTGTGTGGGGTTGACTGAAAAGGACTGAGAGTGCCTGCGTTCATGGGGATGAAGGAACATTGTAAGGTCACTGTTGATGTGGTTTGATATGACAACAATGCTTATTTGCAATATTGATATTGTTAAATCAGGCATTGATACGCACCAAGAATTGACAACAAGGAAAAATCAAATCATTTAAAGGGTTAAAATGGAAAGAGGTGAAATATTGATTGACAGATCTTTCAAATGTCAGGGGTGAAACATCAAACAACAAACTCTCCAAATAACTAATATGCCCACGTTGTCTCTTGCGCGTCATCTTGACCAACACACCTGCTACTTTGGACTCCAGCAGGTCCTCCAGCTCGGCCTCCTGGTGCAGTGCCTCTGCTGACAGCTGGGGGGCTCCAGGGAAGCACAGCAAGATGATGCTGATGTTGTCTAAGCTGCCCTGTGGAGCGAAGCAGCGTCAGCAGGGCTGAGTAATGATGGCTGACCTTACAAATGTCAACATGCGAAACATTATTTCATCCTGCGTGAACAGTTTCAGAAATAGATCATTTTCACCTCAAGGTTCGCACACCAGTGTGGCACAGATGCAGCCGAGCAGGAGAATGTAAATGCAGTGTGGAAGAAACTGTGACATTTTGAGGTCATTGTGCACATCCAAGCTGAAGCCCTGTTACATAACGGAGTGACATGATGGCCAAACAGAGTGCAGCGTGGATGTTAGCATGTGCACATGTGACCTAGATTTATCTTGAGTCTTTAAAAAAAAAAAAAAAAAAGATAGAAAAAAATCCAATTTCCTTTATTATAATCCTTTAGGTCAGTCAACCGTCAACGTTAAGTTGGGGTTTGTTGAGGACGAATCTTTGACAAAATTTAAATATTTGCTAAAGTAAAAAAATAAGCACGAGTTAGATTATGGATACATAAAACTGTCACAAGTCTTCCTTATTTCACAGATTATTTACAGTGCAGTGAAATCTATCAGCTACAACAGCAGTAAAGCTGCTTCTACAGGAATCATTATTCTCCATCACTGGGATGAGTTTTATATATAATGATGCTATAATCAGCATTTCAATGCTTTTGAGCAGCATATGAGAGTGGCTAAAATGAGTCCTCATAGGAACCCAGAATAATCCCAGGTAACCTGTTCTGACATCCCTGCAGTCTATTTTAAGGTGGTCTGTTTGACTATTGTACCATGAACAGCAGCCACAGCCTAAATGAGAGTGAACCAAAGCCTTAGCAGAAGTCACTGCTGCCTTTTTTAAGTCGAAATCTTTGCACTGCACCGCAGCCAGAGATGCACTTTACTGATTTGCTTCCTCCAGAGGGACATGAACATGTCTAAAACAGCTATAATCAATGTTTCTACATTGTCAGCGAACCACGTGAGTAGTTGTTTGTGAACGTGGTGTCTCAGAGTGATGAACCACTTCCCTCAGCAGCTCCTGTCAGCTCCACAGTGCAGTGACCCTGAAAGCTCATCACACTGCAGTTTAAGAAAACACAAGCGAACAGATAAAACACGGACAAATCAAGAGAACGTTTTTCACGTTGTTTCTGTGTTTGGCTTCTTTAGCTGTGCTTACTCATCGCATTTACAAAAAAGCATTTTAAAAAAGTGATTCATGTGCTGAATTGGTGCAGATGTTTTCCTAGTTTACTTGTGTTTGTTTATTTTGTCTAAGTTGCCACATGCGATTTCTTCATATGCAGTATGTAGTGTTCTAAGGGTCATCGTACTGCAGAGCTTACTCCTGACTTGGTGTTTGGGTTTTGCTGCCTACAGCCTCCCTGGTTTGGTTCAGTCTCATTGTGTAGTTTATGGTGACAGACTGAGATTTAAATTTACATACATGCAAAACATTCCGATGTCCTCTTTAACCTCAGTATCCAAAACATGAGTCCAGCCCTGTCCATTAACTTGGATAAAAAGAAATCCTTTCACCATTACTTATTGGTGTAAACAGAAAATCCCATGAGGGATCGATTGTGATTGATTGGATGTGTGTGCTGTGCAAACTGTCACCTTTAAAAGCCTGAGCTCTTTTATCAACAAAATAGGACAGTGGCAGCCTTTAGATCAGGCAGTAAATTCACAGCCCATTAATGTGTCTCAGTTTCAAACTGAAATTGTGTTTTGTGTTGAGAATCAGTTAAAAGGATTCGTTATTCAAACTGCTGAACTTTGACAGAAGTGCATGAGATTGCTTTGTAGTTAAATGGGCCTACGACAATGTGCCCTGGCTCTCAGTAGCAGGTTCTGACCTTATACAGACAGAGGTCAATGACTTGTGAGCAGACGTCCCTCAGGTCGGTGCAGACACGCAGCCGGTTGTGGATGAAGGCGCACAGCTCCTCGTTGCTGATGGTGTCCCAAACACCGTCGCAGGCCAGCACCAGGAACTCGTCCGCTGGCGAGCGCTCCACCACGCACACCTCCGGCTCTGGTGACACCATCTGCTGGCAGGGCGTCCGGTTCTCTGCCCCCTTGTAGCTGAAGTCCCCCAGGGCCCGGGACACCGCCAGGGAGCCGTTGATCCGTTGGAGGGACACGGAGCCGCCTGCGCTCTCAATGCGCTCCTTCTCCAGAGGGCTGTAGGGTTTGTGGTCCTCAGTGGAGAAACAAACCTGCCCAGACCGGCACAGCATGGCCCTGGAGTCACCACAGTTGGCGAAGTAGATGTAATACGGCGAGATGAGGGTGGCCACCACGGTGGTGCCGCCCCTCTCCCAGCCTTCTCGACGGGCCACGGAGTGCAGGTGTTTGTCTGTCTGGAGGAAGCCCTCTATGATGGCTCCTTTCACTTTTTCTGGGTCATCCTCTGGTCCCATCCCACCTGTGCACACAAATAGATGTTGGAACACAGTGTTTTCTGAATCCAGCAGCCATAAAAACACAACATTACACAGAATGGGATAAGCTGTCATGCTTCTGATGCCATGTAAAAATGACTCACTGTAAGAAGAGAACGTTTCACATCAGAATATCCTAAACATAGCTGAACATTATTATGATTAATTATTAAATTAAAAATGTTACATCTACAGCATCTTTGATTGCATTTTATACATTCTCGGTTTCAAATCTGTCACCTGTGGCCAGGATGTGACCCAGGAGGTGCTGGGAGCAGTACTGAGCCACCGTGCTGCCTGCGTGACCGTCGAACACGGCGAAGAAGCTCCAGTCGGCCAGCTCCCCCCCCAGCTGTGGCACACAGTTGTGGAAGTCCTCCATGTTGGCCCTCCAGCCCTGCATGCTTCCCAAAGCGTAGGTGAGGCCCCAGCGAGCGCAGCCCTCCTCTGTTAGCTTGTCCAGGACCGGCCGGTCCAGGTAGGGGCTGGGGATGACCTCGTCCTTCTCCCCCTTCCCCGGCTGCTCCCCCTCCGCTCCTCCTCCACGGCCCCCCTTGAAGAAAGAGCTGACCCTCTTCTCAGTTTCTTTCACCAGCTGCCGCACGAAGGCAGGCATCTCCACGCTGCCCTTCCTGGCTGTCCTCATGGCTCTGATGTGCAGCTGATGAGAAGGGAATCTTCTTTTGTCCCTGCCCCGGTGTTTGTGGCTGGGACGGAGGGCTGAGCGATAGGCCTGATGCTGGGCCTGTGCAGTGTCTGCGTAGCCCTGCTGCTCCAGGGCTCAGAGCATGGCTGCCTGAGCTGATGGATGTTCTCTGTGCTGGCTGCTTACCCCCCTCTCCCTGCTCATCTCCTTCCTCTCCTCTCTCCCTCTCTGGAGACCTCACTGATCAGCGCTCTCTCCTACACTCATCCTTCCTCTCCTCCTTGTTTGGTCTCTTCTCAATGCTGCTGTGATTTCACCTTCTCCCTCGCTTTTTCATAGCTCTTCCCTCTTTCACCAGCTCTCCCCTTTCCTTGTTATTCTCCCTGCCTCCGCCGCGATTGGCCGGCTATTTGTGTGCACCAATCCCTGCTCGCCTTGCACGGCCGCTGTCATGTTTGTGCTCAGCCTCCCTCACCGTCCTCCTATCTGCAGCTCTGTCTCCTCCCACATCGGTGCTAATCTCAACCTTTGATCGGCTGGGATTATGGGCTTGTGGATTACAGGACTGTCAGCCATTTAGCACAAAGTGTGTGTCGGTGGGAGACAGAGGAAAGAGGGTTTATGGTGATCTATTTAAAGTGATATATTACTGTTTTTACATTAACCAGGGCGATAGTGCATGCACTTTGCCTCCATCAGGATTCTCCTCGTAACATAAAACCTCAATTCAGAGCTTCATTCATTCTTAAATTAGGGGTCAGACTGGACTGTTTCTACAATGTCTGCAATCTAATAAAACATTTGGCTTGTAGTGACCCTGCTCATTCAGTGCACTTAACTGGGATTTAGCTGCTATTATTATGTTCCTGCCTTTTTTTTTTTAAAAATGTAATACTATTAAGTAACTAACATGAAGGCTGTGGACGAAAAAACACTTTGTATTAATAATAATACTTGAGTTTCTATTTAAACACAGTTTGAAATACAACAGCGAAGAAAACAACATCACATGTTTTCTGTCTTTATAGAGGCGAGAAATTAGAAACTTGTGACCCAGTCAGCAGAGATAAAAGGGACAAGATTGCTGCACATCTTGCATTTTGAACAAGCAGGTTTTGTTTTGCATGATTATGCAGCAAAACATGACTTACAGCGGTTTTGTTTGGCACCGTTCCCTAAAGAAAATCCAGGATGACGTCGTCACTCTCCACAGTTCTTGTGTTCTTTGATCTGGGTGTAAACACTGCTCCAGTCATGTTACTGTGACCAGACAGGAGAAGATGGATGAACTGTTCTAATGCATATCAACTTATGATCGTGTTTAAACAGAGGTGCAAGAAAAAAAGAAACAGAAACAAAAAGCTGTGAGTGCTCTAAATACCCGGTTAGTATTGAAGTGTAGGACATATATGCATCTTCAAAAAGTGTTATTCTGGAGGAGTAGAATACACAGATGAAGATTTATAGATGAGATTGATCTTTATATTCTAGTTAGACAGCTGATATGTTTGCTAGTTTCACAATGTACAGTACATTATACAATATTATATACTTTTTTTTGTCATTATGTGTTTATTAGACTTTATTACACCATCATATATATTGAACAAAAAGCATGTAATATTTTATTAAATTCAGTCCAATGTTATTAACATACTGGGATAAGTATTTGTTGTTTCAGCCAATGACACCACAGAAAGAGAATAGACATCATGAAGCGACCAAATACGCACTATGTTGGAAATGGTCATGAGTAGATTGAGAGTGAGGTTACAGACATCACAAGTCAGTGATGATTGTGTCCACCATTTGCACGGCATAACGCCAGACATCTGTGATGCAAAGAATTGATGATATTGCACCGCTTAATCCTCACTAGGGTTGTGGGGGGCTGGAGTCTATCCCAGCTGACTCAGGGTGAAGGCAGGGGACACCCTGGACAGGTCACCAGTCTATCACAGGGCCACACTTAGAGACAGACAACCAAGCACACTCACATTCACACCTACGGACAATTTAGAATCACCAATTAACCTCAACATGTTTTTGGACTGTGGGAGGAAGCTGGAGAACCTGGAGAGAACCCACGCTGCACGAGGGGAACATGGAAACTCCACACAGAAAGATCCCGGGTGTCCTCACCAGGATGCAAACCGCCGACCTTCTTGCTGCGAGGCAACGGTGCTAACCACTGCTGCACCTTGCAGCCCATTGTTGATATTGCTTGTGCGAAATTGTCTCACTCTCCCAGAAGGACTTGATGAAGTTAGTGAACACTCTGGACAACAGGATCATATTGTTGGACACGTCAATATGGAGCACTCCATGGATGTTATCTCGATTGCATGTCCTGAAAGTATGCAGGCCATGATAGATGTCTTGTTGAAAGATGGAGTACTGGTGGCAAATGAGTGGGACAACCGTGGGTGGGAGGAGTTTATCTTGCAATTGTTAAAATGTGCCGATGACATAAGGCCACTCTCTGTCGCTGACATCTGTGTAGTGTTTCCTTGTATGACACCAAATACATCTGCCGAGTGCTCTGTACAGTTAGATAACATATCTATCACATGAAAAGAACTGTCCTCCATCATGCCAACAAATATGAGTGGTTGCCTTCATTAGTTCGATCAAGGCCTTGATGTAGGAGATGAGATCACAAACCAGCTTCCCTCAAGCGGTTCCCACAGTTTGAACAGATGTTCTCTGGTTGTGCACACAAACAACATTGTCAGAAGCCTCTGATTGCAAGCAGTTTTGCAGATGGACCAGCCAGACATGACAGTTCTAGGCTTTGGTGGTGGTCTGCAGTTATGTGGCATGTTGTCTGTCCTCTGCGCTTTCTGAGACAACTTCTGAGATGACAAATAGTGGCGCTGGGGACATTCACGAGCCAGACAGTCTCTTCTTGTCTTTCTCTTGTTATCTGTTGCATTGTGTCATTTTATTAAGGTCAAGCTTTATATTGACTAGTCAAAAGAGTGTGTACTGAACCGTTTGATCGTTGTCCTTTAAAGCCAGAGCTGCTGATAACTAGCCCTACACATAGGATG